GTAAATCAACAAAACTTATAAATACAGTAAAATGAAAATACATTTAGCATTTATTAAAGTTTATTCCACTCCGTGTCCTAATTCCCCACCCATAAAACCCTATAACCACCGTTTTCATAGGAAAACATACAGGGAGTAGGGATTAATGAGTGGACCTATATAAGCTACTGTTGCCGTTTTATTGTCCTGACGTTTCAGATTCTGTCGGGAATCCTTAATCATAGGTGAAGGTAACATAGTCATGGTCATGCGCAGATAGGGTTCAAACCTATAAACAATCCTATCTACGCATGGCCATGACTATTTTACCATCACCTATTATTAAGGATTCCCGACGGAATCCGAAACTTCAGGCAAATAAAACTCTTGGTCCAGTTCTCGCATCCCATTCTTCTGACCAATTTGTGAAAAATTCGCGGCCTCGGTGGGATTCGAACCCACACAGCAGCAAAGGCTTTTGTATTGCTAATGCTCTACCGAGGGGCCCTGCGAGGGCATGCTGAGAGCCTTAAATGTAATCACACTTGGGTTGATTTACCCACAATCCGTAATGGTAGATTCCAAATAAGCAGTAAATCGATCCAAGTGTGATCAAAATTCACGGTGCGTTGGCTGCTCAAAAGCTCTCCTACTGTGTTGGTTCGACTCCCACCGAGGCCGCAATTTTTTCACAATTGGGTCAACTAAAAGGTGAGGTAGTAAAACTGAGCAAACTTTAGACATTTTGTTGATAAGCCATTTTAAGGAAATAGTAAATAACGCTGACTATTATCTTTGAAAAGTCCATTTTGCAAACATGTGTTTTCAGCAACTCTTCACCAGGCCAGTACATTTGCAGGAATAATGAAAATTATACAGTTTGCCAGGGGCAATAAGTGTACTCTGATTACTACTCATCATTTTCACGCCGCCCGCGTTGCAATGTGGGCGTTTAGAGATCTTAGTGATGGGGAAGGGGAGGAAACGGGGTTAGGCTGTGGGCATTAGTCAGGGGTCACGGAGCACGGA